TGTTGCGAAAGTATTTTTGTTTTTAGATAGGTAGGTCCCTACACCTGAATGTGGAGATGCAATAATAAGAAAGCAAAATTTCGCTAAGTAATCTACTATATAAAAATAAGTCGGGTTTCCCTTCCTGACGCTATAACTCCAGAATGCACTAACCGATTTCCGCGGTTTTGCATTCCTTGGAAAGGTCTCGGGCTCCGTGAGGTTTATATAGCAAAGAATGTTACATAAAACGAAGCCATCTGGTGGCGATACGGAGTTCGCCGGGTTTGCTAGTTAGTTATACAATCTCCTTGATCCCTTCAGAACATCTTTAATTAAATAAGGAAAGAATTTCAATAAATATATTTTCTGAATAATGATCTGATGATATCTTTATAGATAGCCATTTTAACACGTCACCTGAAAGTCCCAAAACTACGTGCTCACGTGAACGCACTTGTCTAAACATATCGCTACTTTTAAACACTACGTACCTAGTAGGTAAATAAAAAACGAAAACAATAAAGCAAGCAAGTAGATAAGTATAAGGCAACGAATTAAACTACCAAAATGAGTAAAAGAAATACCTAAGATTATATTTGTCAAATCGCAAAAAAATACAAAATGCACAAAAAAAATGGAGGGAAAAGAGTAAACCTTTCTTCACGAAAAAGAAAACTTAAAAACCGCGACACCTAATACTAACAGCCACGACACAACAGATAATCACTGAACACGAAATAACAAAAAAAAAACAAAACAATTCACCTTTGTGGTTGTTAGTTCGTTGCAGGCGCGCGCCGCTCTGGACTCGAGACTAGAAACCAACGGCTTGTAATGGGATTTAAATAGAACTTTCAGCGGCCCACACGTACTGATTCATGAGGATACACCTTGAACTTGAAGCGATGCGTACAGTATCATTCAGTGCCGTAATACGGACTGAATGAGATATTACCGTTTATGGTCCATGCAGTTTTCTCTCGGAAACGGGATATACCTGAGACGGTAGCTACTCTTGCCACGATTCTTGGGGAAGTTTTCAGCGCAAAATTATCTAAAAATTTCAAATATTTTTTTAGGGCATAAGCCGGTAAACGAGCAGACGGATCACCTGATGGTAAGCAATCGGCGTCGCCCATGGACACCTGGAACACCAGTACGTTACAAGTGCTTTATCGGCCTTTTGGGGATTGAAAGTTTGAGGATCGTTGGGCATTCAGGGATTGGGGAAGGAGAGAGGAGTAATTGGGCCTCCGGTAACCTCACTCACACGACGAAACACAACGCAAGCGTTGCTTCACGTCGGTTTTCTGTGAGGTCGAGGTATCACTCCGGTCGAGCCGGCCCATTCGTGACGAAGTATAGCTCTCCCACACTAAAAATTATGTTTCTGCCTCCTCATACATTTAATCCCTTTTTTCAATAAAGCAAAATAATCTGTCAGACTTGTTAGAAATAACAAATTCACTTACATGCAGCACACAATGATATCCCTGCAACTGGAATCTCCGTTCATAAAGTTGATAGACTTTTTTATGTAATAAGAGGATGATGATGAATTTGTTTAAATTGACAGTGCAGTAGGTATGTACTAGATTATTCAACACTTAAGACTGAAATGTGTTTCCCAACTAGACTGTACAATATGTGCAATTGCAATTACTACAATACATGAACTGACTCACAAAAAATACAGCAAAATTGACTATAGAGTTAGTTATTAAGTGACAGACTAAAAATCACTACATACAAGATTCATCGAACAATTCGCTATGCATATTTGCGTTCCCAATTTCTAAACTGAATTATACAAAATTTCATGGTCACCACATATGGATGATAAATCAAAAAAACGTTTCAGAATTTACTCATTGAAAACTGTAGGAGTCATCCGAGAACAAATCCAAAAATCTCTCCCGTAATCGTAGGTAGCTTCGACAGAGTTCCAGATTACGCCCTCAATTTACGTATCAACATGAGAGTATTGTCATCCACTCATCACACAAACTTTCGACGTCACAGAATGACGAAAATAAATCCTATATTTATCCGGTCACAATTTTGTCTCAATACAAAAGTTTGTGATGATTGTAGACGATATTTTTAGACGTGTAGATTTATTTATTTATTTATTTATTGCAAAATGTATATACATAGTGGTATTATACTACTAGTACAGTACATCACCCTGTTAGGGCGCAGCAATTTAACTTATAAATAATAACTAAATAATCATATAATATATTATGTACTTATTCTAATCATTATTAACTTAATTACTCACTATAAACTTATTACTATTAAAAAATTTTTTATCACTTATACCTCTATACCTATATGATGCAATTATATTATTTTATACATTATTTATAAGACCTTTTAATTATAAACATTACAAATAATTTAAAGTAGCAACATTACTGAAATTGAGGAGAATTGAAATTATCACATTAAGTTAGGAACTATAATTACATATTAAAAATAAAATTAACATAACTGGGGAAATATAATCTAACGAATACACATCTCTGTTACCACATTCACCTGAGTTTTATAAAAGCTCTATAAAATACATACTTAGGTTATAAAATACATAGGCTCTATAATAATTTAGAATGAAAACATTAAAATCATTGTGAATAAACATCATCTGGTAAATTATAAAATTACAATGTAGGTACTATTTTGTTGTAAATGCATTTTTTATCTTCGAGATACTCCTGAATACTATAGTATGATTTTTTAATTAGTAGAGACTTTAATCTAGCTTGGAATATACAAAGAGTTTTGGTTGACCGTATTTCCTCAGGTAACTTATTATAAATTTGGATACTTCGGTATTCTGGGCTATTTTTATACATCTGTAGTCGAGGTGCTGGTAGGATCAATTTGGTATTTCGGCGTTCGTTTTTATTGAAATTAAATATTTTGATATTTTTCTTAACAAAACTGGCTAGCTCTAGTATGTAGATGGACGGCAAAGTTAGTATTTTCTCTCGTATAAAATATGGTTTGCAACTATCTCTAGGTTTAATATTATAAATTATTCGGAGACATTTCTTTTGAGCAATGAATAGATCTTTGGCATCTACACTGTGTCCCCACATAATAATCCCGTAGCGTAACCACGCATATGCATATGCATAGTACGCAGATAGAGCACACTGTGTGTTGGTGTTAGTTTTTAACACATTCAACCCATATGAAAATTGAGATAGCTTTATTTTAGTAATGTCTACATGTCTTTTCCAATTTAAGTGGCAGTCTAGTGTTATACCCAATAGTTTAAATTCTTCAACTTCTTCTATTTTAAGAGTATTAGATATATTCTTAAGGTTAATTTTTTGTTTTTGGTATGGTTTGAATTGTATGATTTTTGTTTTCTTATTATTAACTTCAAGGTTGTGATTCAAGAGCCAGGATTTTATGAGGTTATATGTGTCAATAATTTGGGTGTTGTATTCTAGATTATTTGAAGGACTTTTGAAGAGAATGGAGATGTCATCAGCAAACAGTACACATAGATGGTCGCATATTTTCGGCAGGTCATTGATATAGATGAGGAATACTCCGGCCAACGCTTTCTGAATACTTGCGGCGTAAATACACCGTTAATCATAGTCTTTTGATGTCATATTTTTCTATTTTAGACTTATCAAATAAATCTATAGTATAAAAAAAATTGAATAAGTACTTGAGAATGGCTGAACCGATTTTGCTAATTTTGGTCTTGAAATGCAGAAGCCCAGAGAAGGTTTAAAAAGTAAAAATAAATTAGGCCGGTACGAAGTCTGCCGGGTCAGCTAGTAAACATGTAAAAGTGTATGAAGGAACATCACATAACATAACATCACGCCTTTTATCCTCGAAGGGGTAGACAGAGGTGCACATTATGCCACTGTACAATGTAACACCCACGTTTCACTATTTATGTTATGAGGCCCATGTAATAGGGGGTGGGTGAGCCTATTGCCATATACCGGGCACAAATCCAAACTGCGTGGTACTACTTTTTAGAAATAAAAAAAAACAGTAATACTTTGACCGACCCGGGAATCGAACCCGCACTTGTGACCACTCGGCCAATGAGGCAGTGTATGAACTATGAAGTAATGCATCATTATTGTCATCAAAACATCAAAAGCCCTTGACGGTCCTGTATTAGACCATGACTCTCCTCTGCATAAAAAGGTTTGCGGGCATTACCTCCAGGCTTGGCAAACGAGTTGGATATGGAAATTCAACAGGATCTAAGTACTAATTAGGCACGTCCAGCACGTGTCATGTCTACATGCATCATGCATGAGAGCATGTCTTTACGAACGTGCGCCGGCTTACTTTAATTTAATAAGTGTACTAGATCGAATCCTACGTTTTACTATAACCACTTCACGTAAATAAATATAGTAAAAATTGCGTACTTAATTTTATTACGAGTACATAGGGGCACCCCTAATCAGCTCATGACAATAAATGATCAACTCTTCTTACACGTGACTCCTAATACATATATATAATGTAACTGGTGAAAAGTGGGTGTTGCACTGTTTAATTGCACTTCTGCCTAGAGCCTACTAACCACAGAAACTACAATAACTTCAGGATACACTATACAGTCTACGTCTCTTTGAGTCGAGGCGAGATCAATGACGGCTGTCGACTACCACATCAACGAACTACGAAAAACATTGCTAAATATTCGGACCCATGCTCTTATTTGTGAATCACACAAAGAGTTGCTCTGTGCTAGAATCGAACCCCCTAGACGTTGCGTAGCTGCCAATTGTCCAGCCCACCGCGCCAACCGTTCAGTTACATATTTATTGATGTACACACATACAGAAAATAAAAATATAAAAATATTTTATTTCTGAAAAAGTTCTAAAAGACTTGAATCCAAGGTATAGATGTTGAACGAAAAATTCTAACGTCACTGTCACGTCTGTCATCATAATCATAGAGATGTCAATGATCGTGGTTTACACGTCAAACGAATGTCACTGATCGGCCAGTGATGTACATTGTCTTCAATGTAATTGAAACGATTTATGACATATTAATACAAATAGATTAATAATATTCGCAGCGTAAATTTAATTTATACGAGAACAATATCTTTTCAGTGAACCTTGGCGTTGTATACAATACTTTCATTGTATATTATAACATTATAAATCGAAGTGCAAATTTCACTAATGGTATGAATCAACTGCCAACTGCCAATCTATAAAAACATAATCAATATCGATATCAGATTTATATGTCACAACACTATACCGGTTTGGAGAGTGAGAGAGAGGTTAATTTATTTTTCAGTCTCTAACTTTTGTTTATTTATCTTCGAATTAAACTTATTCTTTCATAAAGTTTTTATCTACCTACTCTTTGAATATCGTGTACAATAGTTTATTATAATTAATATTAAATAGTGAAGAATGTTAGAGTGTTATTGATAAAGCTATATTATCGTATCTACTGTCATCATAAAATAGTGACGGTTTTTGATAATAGGTATACAGGCAGATACACGTCGCTATGTATTGAATGAAATAAATGTTATCCGCATTGCACAATGTGGTTTCCTATAGTCTACTACTTAAGTTACTAAGTATGATATGAAACATTGAAGAAGCGAAAGCGTGTATGTGTTGCGTAAAGTCAAGTGCCGGTAACTCAAGACTAGTTGTTCAGAGTGGTTAGAACGCGGCTAAGGTCGATCATCATGCTGCCGTGGATACAGCACCGATGGACCGGCCTCTGCCTCCTTGTGGCTGCATTAGGATCCCTAATGCTGTTCCTGTATGGATTCTTCCCATTGAAGTATCATTCAGGAAGGATGTCACATATGGATGATTTGCCAAACTTCATAGAAGGCGTCAGGTTAGTCAAAATAGTATATTTTAACTGCCCTTACCTTATGAGAATCAATGTCCAATAATTTTTTTTTTAAATAATCCCATTAAGAATCTCTTTTAAAAGATTCCAAATTTGAATCTTACAGTATTGATGGCCAGCAAGTTTATAGTTCTGGTGAGAACAGTGTTGTCCTGATGGTGATAGATGGCCTCCGTTATGACTTTGTAACAGAAGAGTACATGCCTTACACTGGACAACTGCTCAAGAACAAGTCTGCTTGCATCTATGTGTCAGTGGCTGAACCACCTACTGTCACTATGCCTAGGATCAAGGTAAGTCTAACAAAAAAAAAAGTATTAGATGTAAAAAAAGAATAATCTTCTTCCCATTCACAATACCAAAGAAAAAGATTGTTATTTATGGTAAAAGTTTAATTTTAGAACATTTTTATTGTTGTGTACAGTCACCTGAGCGTAAGAAGGAAAAGGCACAGTGGAGGCGCACAATAAACTTCTGGCGGGATATATTTGCAAGTGTCACATTTACATAATTATTCAAACTAGTTGTTTCTTATTTATTCAGCTTGGCTGCATGTTCATAGAGACAAAGAAAAAACAAACAAAAAAGTATTTCTTAAAATTTTTTTATGTAATTTAATTCTTTAAAGAAATGATAAATGTTTTTTCTTTGGTCTTGTGTCTGTTGCTTCGTGGTTTGCGTGCATGCTATTTAGTTTTTAATCAAGCTTTGTACATTACTCATTGTTACACATCACGTAATAGTAATACATAGCATATTTCCTATTAGAATTTACATGTATAGTAAGAAATAAACTAATAGTAAATATTAAAAAATGTAAGCATTATTAAAAAATGTTAATGAGTCCTGCAGAAAAGAAAAAACAAGTAATGAAATAATATAAATTTATACTTTCTCTCAAGGCAACAATGTTAGCCATATTAGTTTCGGTACAAAGTACAGCGTAGTTACCTGCATGTTTAGATTTAGGTAGCATGCCTAGCATTCATAAGCACATAGCGTGAAGATATGCATTCACTATTATAACAATAGTTTCATAACTATACTTCAATTTTATTACAAACTTATACAATTTTATAGCAACATTTTAATTGTAGGCAATCTAAAATAAGGAAGCTAAGAAGTGTATAAGCAATGTATGGATAATGATTGTAGTTTCTGCTTACGCCTTAGGACCAAAAGACAAAGACTCCATACTAAATTGCTCAGGACTGCATAATCTACAGTGTAGTGCAAGACCAGCAGATAATGTCGACGATAGGAGCTAGAGATTTACCACGATGATTATTTGGTCGCTCACTTAAGAGGGCGACCCGTATATCCCCATGCGGTCACATTATAGACCTTATTTCCAATGTTTAGAGACTACTTTTGTATGAACAAATTTAGGGGATGCTTTTCAACAATTATCAACAAGTTAAGGCATTGAAAAACACAGACAATAGAAAGAAAGCCTAAATACATTGGCCACAAACTCAGAATCGACAATTTAGTATAGCTTGATATGCGCCTGCCCCACCTTATTGAATTGACCTATGTAATTTGTCGTTATTGCCCAATTAATTACAAGTTACTAGTATTACGTCGGTTCCACAGTTCCTGCGGTTTCGAGTCATTGATTGTGTGTTGTAAGTACTGGCTCAGTCATGCATATCACCTTTAGGAAGAATTTGCATTAATTTGATATCTGTCGCACTTTCCCTTCCTTGTACAGATGTCAAGTATTCATAACATAATCACACGCCCTTTTTCATTCCCCATATTTATTGAATGTAACACCCACATTTCGCCATTTAAGTCGTGAGTCTGGGTATGTCCACGACATGGCTAAACTACTGAGGATTTCCAAAAAACTTAATCAACACAGATATGTAATGGTGCATCCTCAGCTGGCGACTGCGCTCGCGAGATGGTCGTGAGCATTTTTACAAACACACGCAGGCCACGCGCATTTCGTGTGATACTCAATCCAGGGTGCTTACTCTTGAAACCAATCTCAATGTCAATGCAATTTCAATCCAATATAATTTCAATAATTATACAATGTCAAAAGTATACAACCACAATCGTAGCTGTTAAAATAGCATTCACAGTACGGAATATAAAGAACAAATCAATACCATTTAGTTCATTCGATATCCACGCAATAGGGATGCAATGGGCGCTAGTGTTGAAAATCAAGAGTACGAAATTTTACAATATCAATGTCGATCGATTGGAATTGGATTCAAGAGTAGCCACTCTGATCTATGTAGATGCACCACAATATCAGTAGAGGCGTTGTTATGTTATACGGGTATGTTGAGGTTGGGCTAAAACCGCCACTGCACAATATAGTCCAAAATTGCTGAAACTTCTCTCCCTTTCTCTTAATTGTAAACTGGTGACGTTATTTGTAAAAGTACTCTTATGTCTTGCATTTGCACTTCCGCTTTAGATATGCCATGGTATGATAAGTTGGTAGCTATTGTTTTATTTTTAATTGGCGTTAATGTGTGTTTATTTCGTTTATCTGGTGTGTAACGTAGAAAGGTAGTTAGAAGGTATGGTGACGGTTAAAGGGTCAATGCACTCGTAATGTACAAGTATTTCTAATAATAATCAGTATTCAGCGAAACTGTGAAAGTCAGTTTCATTGCAAAAATGTATTGTATTGTATACCTAATTACCTGTCGCGGAGAACCTAACGGGTAACCGGGGCTCCGGCTCGGCGTGCAGGAGAAGGAACGGGGTGGTTTTTAGTCAGTCTGACACTCCCTCCCGCCTCACCCAGACGGGAGCGGTCATTCGATGATTTTCCCCCTTAAAAAAAAACCTAACTACCTAGGTACTCGTCGTGTACAATTAATTTTTAAAAATAAAACATAGGTGCCTAATATCATTTTATCTAATCTTGACGGTTGACTGTACGGTTGCCGCGGTGCCGCGGTGGCTAGGCAACCGGCTGTCGCGCAACGGGCGGCGAGTTCCATTCCCGTTCCCGCACGTAACCATATCATCATCATTGCTTTATACCTTGAACCTATTTCAAGCTTCTTTTCGTTGCAATACTCTTTATGTCAACCATATTACACCTATACCTTGGCCAAGATTGATAGTAAATATTTGTAAACAAACCACAAAGACTAAATATCTAGCCATAACAAATATCTATTTTCTGTGCTTCTATCTCCTATTCTGCTATCGCTGAGATCTGTCACTTGGTATAATGGTATAAACCTCACTGTACACGGGAAGTCTGTGAGTTAACTACACCTAGAGAGCGTACAATGCTCTGCGGATCCAGTATAATAATGCGTTCAGGGCACTGTTGCGGCTTCCACGTTTCTGTAGTGCGTCAGCAATGTTTGCTGATGCTCATAGCGACGGATTCGCTTCGTTATGGCGCAAAAAGACTGCATCGCTCATCAGTCGCCTGCGTAGAAGTCGCCACGGTATTCTGACTGCCATACCCGATAGACATGACTGTCCATTGATGTGGAAAGTAGTGCAGCGGACTAAGTCCCTGTTTACTATTACTTATTAATATTGTACCTAAATAGTTATATAGTTAGGTGTGATTGTGTTCTTCCCTTACTATTAACTTGATGGATGTCAGTTATCTGAATAAATAAATAAATAAATAAATAAATATTTAATGAGATAGAGGGCGGAGATTAACATGAAGTTTTCTACCCTTTACAATTTGTTTACAAAACATTTCACAACGCTCTTGACCAAGGTATAGGTAATAATAATTATCATTTTAATAAATCTCTGTCTTCTATTCCTCAGGCCATGATGACAGGCAGTGTCTCCACATTCGCTGATGTGGCCTTAAACTTCGGTGCTCCAGCTGTTCGTGGAGACAGCGTGTTGCGTGTTGCTAACGCTAGAGGGCGCCGTACTGTGATGTATGGAGATGATACCTGGCTAAGATTGTTCCCTGGATTGTGGTCAGAGTACGATGGAACTACTTCTTTCTACGTCACTGATTATACGGAGGTAAATCTTCTACATCATTATCAACAGCCGAAAGACGTCCCCTGCTGGACAAAAGCCTCCCCCTTAGTCCTCCACGTCGAACGACAACTCGCCACCTGCATCCACTCTGGCGATGTCGTCGGTCCACCTAACAGGACACCTGCCCACGCTTCATCTTCCGGTCTGTGGTCTCCACTCTAGGACTTTCCTGGCCCATCTGCCGTCAGTCCGTCCAGAGACACGGCATTGCCACTTTAGTCTGTAGATTTTGCGACCTATGTCGGTAACTCTAGTTCTTTGGCGAATTTCCATATTTCGGATTTCGGTAAATCTTAAAGTATATTAAATGAAATGACTTTGTAGTACTAGTGATACCAGTTCTATGCTAGAAGCAAGCATAATTCTGCACTCTATTAGTACTGAGAGTTCCCAAAGCCAAAATCAAGATGATAATTCTTTTTTGCTTGACCTAATGATGGTTGGATGGTTTGGTTTGGTATGGTTGAGCACAATTCAAAACTACAAACTCCTCACTACAGAGAATTTTCGATTTTGTCTACAATGTAGTCTAACTACAAATCTAAACATAATATATGTCTACGTCCCTTTGATATATATAAGAAGTTCTTTATTACCTTTGGATGGGCTGGGAATGTCCCGTCCAAACTGAAACCCCTTGCTAGTCCAATCGGCCAACGATGCAGTTTGTGATTCAGATTAGCACGATGGATAAAACAAGATGAGCGCAGTGGAATTCTTTGCCAGAGTCTGTATTTCCTAAATATAACATGGGTGTTATCAAGGCCCGAGTAAATAGGTTGCTTTTAGGACGACGTGCAACATCGTAGACCGCATCATCGCTTATCACCAGGCGAGATAGAGGTCGGCGACCCATCAGATATAAAAAAAAGTTTTTTTTATTTCAGGTGGACAATAACGTCACAAGACATCTGGACAAAGTGCTAACACCAGATGAAAAAAAGAAACCAACATTTGACTTCCTAGTGCTTCACTACTTGGGTCTAGATCATATAGGACATCTAGAAGGCGCTAGGAGCCCTAAGATCAAACCGAAGCTGCAAGAGATGGATGAAGTGGTGAAAAAAATATTTACTGCTATGCAAACGTGGGTAAGTAAGTGGGATCTTTTAATAATAATATACTGGTCGACCATGGACACCTGGGACACCAGAGGCGTTGCAAGTGTGTTACTGGCCTTTTGGGATTAGGAATTTATGGATTGTAGGGGACTTTGGGATTGGGAAAGGTGGGAGGGGTAATTGGGCCTCCGGTAACCTCACTCACGCGACGAAACAACGCATGCGTTGTTTCACGTCGGTCTTTTGTGAGGCCGTGGTATCAGCCGGTCGAGCCGACCCATTCGTGCCGAAGTATAGCTCTCCCACGCTTGACTACAAACACATTTCTATCTCTTTGGTCCCACAATCACTTAAATCACTCAGTAGACTGCATAAAACTACATAGCATTTAGCATAGAAAGTTGACAAAATTAAGGTAAAATATAATATGTATTGTTATAATTATTTTTGTTTACAGGACCGTAACGGCGTGCTAATAGTATGCGGCGACCATGGTATGCGTGACGCGGGCGGCCACGGCGGCGCCACGCCCAGCGAGGTGCTCGTACCTTTAGTACTCGCCAGGAGTTCAGATTTCGAGTGTCCACATCCGTATGTATATTGTTGGTATTATTTCCGTATGAAGATATGAATGTATGAGAAGCGCGAAGGGTATGTAAGAATAGGGTAGATGCCTAATTTTTATTTTAGTGTCCGTCTGGTAGATTATTTTAAATCATTAGACACGTATTTTTAATTTCTTACAGAAACGAATACTTTCGACGATATATTGATTTGAAATGTCGCGTGACGTCACTACTATGTACATTTTATACGTAGAAATGACGTTTTAGCCCCAACTTTGATTCGTTTTATCTAAGTATTGACTAATTAGACTTTTAATTTTCATACCCTGTCATCATCCCAATTGTAGCAATTGGCGTTCCATAGTCTCTGCCTACCCCTATGGAAGACAGGTGTGAGTTTATGCATGTGTTTTCCGTATGTAATGTTTGCATAGTATGATTTGTTCTTGTATGAGATCTCTAACGACCAGTCTATCTGTTAGAGCTTTGATTAGTTTAATTTTGAGTTGGAAGCGTAAAAACACCTCTTTTTGATCGAATTGAGGTAATACAAAATGTTAACTATATCTGTATTATTTTTTTTAATGGCATAAGCCGGTAAACGAGCAGACGGATCACCTGATGGTAAGCAATCGGCGTCGCCCATGGACACCTGGAACACCAGAGGCGTTACAAGTGCGTTACCGGCCTTTTGGGGATTAGGAGTTTGAAGATCGTTGGGGATTCAGGAATTGCGGAGATTGGGGATTGATATTATAACATATCGTCTCCTCTACAGACAAGGTCCAGGCCCAACAGTGGCACAAGTGGACGTAGCGCCGTCAGTAGCGTGGTTACTGGGCGCTCCGCCCCCCGGGGACAGCGGAGGCAGACTCCTCCCAGCTCTACTCCCGCAGGACCCGCGCCAACATCTCTACTTGTTGCACGTGCTCAGCAGTCACGCTGTGAAGCAGGATATGCCTACTAATACTGGTATGTTTATTTATGTTTTAGATGTGATAAAACGGTTTTGTTGGTGGTAGGTGGCGCTGGTGTAGATTTAAGTCCTGTGGGGGCTAAATGTCAAAAAGGGCGGAAAAAGAGCTAAGCTCCCATTTCGTCAAGTAAATACCTAAATTCGGCGCTAATGGGAGGTAAGATTTCTCTAGACTAGATTTCGTCAATCGAATGGGTATCAAAACTATATTTTCACTCTATTTTACAACAAATGAGTTTGTGTACTTTTATCTACACAGATTCGCAACAATAATCATTATAACTATCAAACTCCTTAATCCCCAGAGTTCTACAAGCAGTTCCAACGCGCTGAGCAACAGTTCGCCCACTACCTCGCTACAGGACAACAGAGTGCCGCCAAGATTGCCAAGGAGTTCTACGAGGAATCACTTGCTAAGATGTCTGAGTATCTCACTCAGACTAAAACTGAGTTCGATCTGTTTGCAATCGGCATCGCTATTTTCTTGTTATATGCGGTGAGTTAGATTCATTTTATTTCATTCAAACAGACATCTAGTTGATATTACATAAATTAACATAACATCACGTCTTTTATGCCCGAAGGGGTAGGCAGATGTGCACATTATGCCACTGTACAATGTAACACCCAATTTTCACTATTTATGCTATGAGTCCCATGTTATAGGGGGTGAGGCTTTTGCCATATACCAGACACATTTCCAGACTCCGTGCTACTACTGAGATTTTTTTCAAAACCCAGTAATACTTTGCCCGATTCTATTTGCTATGGTAACCTGCTGACTGCACTTTGGTTTAGTGAAACGCAAATGCAATCGAGCATTGGTGGGTGCGGGTTCGAAACCTACTTTTCCGAGTTGCATGTTCTTTCTAAGATTATTTAGACACCACAGACCAACGGTGAAGGAAAACATCGTGAGGAAAACTGGACTTGATAATTTCTAATTATGTGTCTATTTAATTTCTTTAAATTTTTAATTTTAATCATCATAGTTTCTGTTATATAAAACTCATATATGTCTCTACAACTTAGAAAAATACAATATTCTAACGTAGTGTTATATTATTTTTTCAGATCGCAACATCGCTCCTTCTAGTCACACTATACTCGCTCCAACCAGACACGCGACGCAAGACAAGCATCACAGGTCGCTCCCACCAGCGCTCAAGCATCGGCTCCATCATCGCTTTCCTCGTTATCTTCTGCATATGCAGTGCAATCCTCATCACATCGTGTTTCATAACAGAAACCAAAAGCCAACTATGCAATTTCGAATCATTCTGGGCACTCGGACTCTTCACAACAGCCTGTATGTTCACCGTCACTTATTTCATAATTAAAACAGGAATTGAAAGGATTAAAGATCTTTCGTTACTCAATGAATTGAATGCTATCGATATGTTGTTGATAGTAGCGACTTTATTCCATTGCTGGTCATTTTTTGGAACCAGTTTCATTGAAGAAGAACATATGACCTGGTACTTCTTCTGGAACACTTTAATGTTCTTTGTATTGGTGAGAACTGTTGTTATTTTGCTCATGTATTTGAGTAAGAAGCTGACTGGAGCGACCGAGGTGCAAGAGAAGCCGGAATTGGAACAACGGATGAGCGCTGTCGGTGTTGAGATACTGCCTAAATGGGTGCTGTTGATTGCCTTGCATAGGTGAGTTGTTTTGATATTTTTTTGTTTGAATTTAAGATCATTATATGTTTTTATAATAACTATCGTGAGACATACTAAATTAACTGAAAATGGAGGGTTAGACACGTGAATTTACTGAGAGGAACATGCGATTTTTAGATAATCATTATTTAAAAAGTAATTCTTTGATCTGAAGAGACGATGCAATGATGTAAATGGTCACTTGACAACTATGTAGTTACCCTGCTAGGGAGATGACAAATCACGGGCTTACTGTAAAAAAACTGATTAGTCTTTTCCGATCAGTGAATTACTGAACACGTTTTCGTTTACCAACAATACCACAGCCCGTCTAAAGTCCAAAGATCATATTATAATCCAATATTTTGGCACAATAATTGGGTGGTTTCCAGGGTATCAAAATTAAAAATCTAATTAGTCCGTCAGTTAGATAATGAAAAAAATATTACATTATTTTATTATTTTCTCATATTACGTTGCAATACTTGGAAAAAATGGCGCTAAGTGTAGGATTGGGAGATTGTTACGTCATAACGTGCTACAAAATCTGGCACGCTGTGACGTCACACGATATTTCAAATTAATATATCGTCGAAATTATTTAATTTTGTGAGAAAAGAAAAAATACGTGTCTAAAGTTTTAAATTAATATACTAAACGGACTTTAAAATAAGATTTAGGAAACTACCCTTTTGATGTCTACATACACGAATGTTTTTAATTTCCAGATACCTAAGAACAATGAACCAGACTGGAGATAGATGGTTGTTCCTGCCAGACACAGCAGACTGGCTGAATGCACCTGAAAACGCATTCTATCTGCAAGCTCATCTTGTAGTAGGTGAGTTGGTTTACAAGTTTTATAACATAACATAACATCACGCCTTTTATCCCCGAAGGGGTAGTCAGAGGTGCACACAGATGTAACACCCACTTTTCACTATTTATGTAATGAGACCCATGTAATAGGGGGTGAGCCTATTGCCATATACCGGGCACACTTCCAGACTCCGTGCTACTACTGAGATTTTTATTTTAAAAACCTGCAATACCTAGCTCGACCCGTAAATCGAATCGGAAATCCCTTGCCCGACAGACGCACTTGCGAGCACTCGGCCAACGAGGCAGTCATTTCAAATATTTCATCTCATTTCCAGGCACAATCGGAACACTAGTAATATGTCTATGGAACCTCCGTTTCCTGAACAACGTGAAGCACTTCCAATCAATGCTAACAACCGCGGCAGTGGTCTGCATACTATGCTACAGGATCGCTTCCAACGCCTTAGACTCACCATTCGACGATATAAAGACTTGGGACCCGGTCAAGATAGTAGACGTCTTCTGGGCCATACTCATAGCACAGTTCCTTCTAGAAATAGTATCCTACATAGGTATCCTAAAGTCCTGTGGCTTACAACCGACAAGGAATAATCTAAGTGCAAATAAATTCGAGTACAGCAAGCCTAAGGCGAAATCTGAAGATTATTTCTACGATAACTTGATGGAGGAACCTTGGAATGTTGAAGAAGTGAAGTTGAACTTAGTTCGGAGTCTTTCTCATCTTATGTTAAACGATTTAATGTTGATAGTGTGTTTATTAATGCGACCCCATAACGTGGTGATGGTGCCTAGTATATTTGTAACGTGTGTGCTGACCTCGCAGTGCATGGACCATAAACTGTTGGACTCCAAGTCCGGGAAAAAGACTGAAGTGGCTGATATACTCAGTCGGACGCTTGTACATATGTGGATTGGTATCCTGTTCTTCTTTTATCAGGTGAGTTTTTATTTTATTTAGTAGATATACAGTGTGAGTCTTTATAAAGTGCACATATTGAAAAGGACACACACAATTAATCATATTTTCTATTTCCCCAGGGTAACTCAAACAGCCTGTCCTCAGTAGACCTGGGCTCAGGCTACGTGGGGCTCCGTGAGTACTGTCCTGTGCGAGTGGCGCTCCGCATGGGACTCCACGCGTACGCCGGCCCTGCTATAGCGGGCGCCGCGCTATTCGCCACCATCGCTAGACATTCTGATACTTGGGACACGTGAGTTTGACATCATTATTATATTTAAAGATTACATTGAACTCCCATAAATGTATACATCTTAAAACTGTGTTTACAAAGATCAAAAACCTTTAGGCAAGAGATCAGCATACTAATAATTTTTTGATGAGCTAACTGCAATCCCCAAGTCAGTGGTTTGTCTGCCTCTTAGGTCTTAGGTAATATACCTATCTAAAAGGCTAATAGACATCTATCGGGCTATCATCGCTTCTTACAACCAGAGGAGATTGTGGCTAGACGTCGACACATCAAATATAAAAAATAATTAAAACTTTTATGAGACATACTTATTTATTAGTATGTTTTTGCTTACTCACGTAACTGTTTGACCACGAACTCGACTAGTTTCAAGCCATGCTAGGGGCTCGTATTCTCATGAACAGCATTCCGCGACCCGCGACGCAGTGACTGTCGCGCTGCTACTGATTCGAAGTTAAGGTTCTTTGTTTTAACTTTGTAATTTAATCGCGCTAAATCGATGGCATATGCCGCTCGCGACTTCGCTTAGTTTGTGAGTTGCTTCCGAATGGCGCATTCACTAAACATCGCGTCGTCCGTATCTAAAAATAATACCTTGTCATTATTCTTATACTTAATACTGACTTAAACTTTTTCCTCAGGTACTTACAAACAATATGGCGTTCAACAAACATCCTAGCAGCTCACCGAGTGTACTGTGTAGTGGTCTACTGTGTGATCGCAACTATCTTCCGAGACCATCTCTTCGTGTGGAGCGTGTTCTCTCCAAAGTTGTTGTATGACTTCGTAGCGACAATATTCTCTCTACAAGCCCTCGCTACAATAGCACAGCTACAGTTTCTAGCCCATACCACTAATTACCTCGCTAGAATCTTCACGTACAAGTCAAGACTGTGATATAACTAGTGTTGTGCTTGCCAAAGGTATTCTATGTTGTGGTTATAGAGCTCAATTTACAATGGTGTTGAAGTGGTTGCTATGAGTTGTAGTGTTCTGTAGGTCAATTTAATCTAATCTGCTTTTCTTTGATAGATTTAGAACTTAATTGTTGTATTATAAAGTTGAAAATCTATTGCATTTGGATGGATTGGAAAAGGTTGGTCTGTAGAAGGTTGCACATACCATAATAAACTTTATATCAATTGTGTAAAGTAAAAAAAAAAATAGTAGAAGTAAGTAGCCACGGTATTACGAATTGGAGAGATATATCTTATTATATATTTATTTTTAATGTTATTCGAATTGATATAGAGTTCATTATCCTAAATACTTTAATTTCATTTCACCGTGTAAATTGAGTATGAAGTGAATTGATAGACTTACAACTGTTGTTAAATATTGCCATTATTATGTTACTATAGTGTTGTGATTATAAAGTGTAGAAAACTAGCAACGTCCATTTTGTGAACAAAGTTGATTATGCAGGGGCCTATTGAATTCGTAGGCATTTATAACGCTACGTCGTGCTTGAGCGATTTAGAAGCAGTGGCAAGCGAATGCAATGCGTTGCGACGCGACGGCATGTCCTGGGTGCATGTGAATTGTTTCGAATCGTTTTTGTTTCCGTCATTATAACCAAAACAAAAACATGACAGCTCCGCATCCAAATATGTTTGCGAAAATATCAAATCAACATATCGCGTTCACGTCATTTCGCACTGTACACCGCATTCCACAGGCGTATTGTCACGTAAGACACTTCAATAGGTTTCGACAGTTTATTGTTTTCGCACTTCACCGCACTGCTCCGCATTCGCGTCTAGATCGCTCGGACAGCGTAAAGAGGTTTGCCATAATAATGTCATCTGGCGTTCCATTGCCTCTGTCAACCCCAATGAGAGACAAGCGGGACGGTATATACGTACGCAGGTCGCTTCTAATTGGCCGATCTGTAATGCCATATCCGCACTACACTAGTATTTTGCTCGAAAATGGAGTATTTAGTAGTTCTCTCTCGCATCTATCCCAAAATTGAAGCGAGAGAGAGGTAATTGCTACTTGATTAAAATACTAGTGCAGTGCGAACTGGGCATGTCGATACTGAGCCGCGGACTTAACGGGTTGCCGGGGCTCTCTGGCTCGAAGGGTAGGAGTAGGAAAGGGGTGGTTTTTAGTCAGTAAGAGTCTGACACTCCCTCCCGCCTCACCCAGGCAGCAGTCATTCGATGATTTCCCCCCCTTAAAATAAAAGTGCGAACTGGGCATAAGACTTTGTGGTCTTATGTCAAACAGTGGGTGTTTTGTGATCGATAATGATGATTTATGAATTCAATAGCAACCTGTTTAATGATAATGAGACGGTGTGTATGTCGTTATGTGAAGTACATACAGAAGGCAGTTTATTGTGTACTTATATTATTTAAGTAGTATATTTAATTGTAGACAATATTCTAATTCTAAATTAGCAAAATGAGTGCGATACAAGGATAGTATTATGTTTTTATTGTTTTAAAATGATTACTACTTAGTTATGAATTATGACATTCCGTGAATTAAAATAATAATATTATTGTTATACACTAACTATGGATTTTTAATATTGTCTTACTAATATTAGAAATGTAAGGTTGTGTGTATGTTTGTACTCCAATCACGACAAAACGGCTGAAGGTATTGTGACGAAATTTTTAAAGAGGTAGATTATAGTGTGCAATTACACATGCGTCTACTCTAATCCTACGTTAACGCGGGCGAAGCCACTGGTAGAAGCTATACATATTTTTACTAAAAATGAGCAAATAATAAAACAAATTATTATCTTAACAATTTTTATTAGTGTAAGTGTATACTGGAAACACATTTTTTTTTTAGATTTTTATTATTGATAATATTCTATAGGCGTCACAGCGACCCCTCACCAAACCGATGTCCTAAATAAATCTAATTTTACATTTATTTGTGTGCATTATTTCAATTCAATCAACTGAACATTTCGAAGAGAATACGAAAATAGTTACGGATCTGCAGTTTCACCACCTACAAGCAATATCTATGAGATAAACGTTGAAACTATAATTTATCTAATGAATAGCTACCAGAGACTAACATGGTAGTGAAACAGCGGTTCATAAAATGCGAGTGAAAAGCACCCTTAAAACAGGAGGACTCCACCTCCCAAACGTTTCCATAAAAAATATATTCTGCTAAATAAACTTGCTGGAATGCTTCATTATTTACCCAAAAACTTCCATCTTTACTTTAAAATATATTTAGACTCGAAAAATATGTAACAAGTCATACTTTCACTATTATTTTAAAAATATATCTTGATGATTGTGACTTGGAACACTATGATATCATAACTACATATTATACATTTTGGCACTAACTATAAACACAGAATTTACACACATGTATATGATTAATACATAGAAATTAGGAATTTAGACATAAATGCACATAGCGGCAAACCGTAGACAGCCAATGATTAAGATATTTTCAATACCTAGAAACTACACCTATTCCCATTTACATTACAGTAGGTACTTTTAATATTGTCTATTATTGTAACCCATAGTCATAGTAATATAAAATAAAAGCACGAAAATATTGTCTATACAATATCTTATGAAAGAAGATTAACAAAATCAACTAGGCATTACAGTATAAACCTTGAATTTGTTCTACTAAATACTGTGTGACGACCACATAATTGGAAATTCGGAACCAGAGTGCCAAGCACGTACTATCGCATTCAAACGTAAGAGTATCGAGCGTCGGCGCTCTGATTGGCCGGCTTCAGTGAACTAACCAATCCAAGCGCCGAACGTGCTCGATACTATGGCACTCTGTTAAAGTTCTGACGAAAAATAATTCGTAACTTTGTATAAATATAAAAAAATAATGTGATTACACGTGGCCAACTTCAAAGACTTGTTATTTAAATATTTACATGCGTTATGTAACAATAATTATACATATTCTCTCGTTATCAGTACACAAGGTAGAGATGATAGCTCGAAGGCTTTGTGATTTGCTTAAACAGCGAAGATATGACGTGGTCTTAAGTATATGTGCACCAACCCCCCTCCAATTACACCATTGGATTCTCCATTACCTGGAAAGAAGGAAATATTAGAATTAGAACAGACTAGATATTTGATTAAACTGTCAAACACCGCGAGGACACCTGTGACTGCAACCTATTGTTCTTTAATTGTATCTATAATGACGGTACTCAAAGGGTTAATCCTGATTGGATAACCGCAGTAACGTTTCGATCGACCGTAAAAATAACTCTTTTTTTTAGAACTCTATTGCCAATTTAGTCTTTAATCGTTTTTATGAGATGGGTGGTAAAGGAAACGATGGATCACCCGATCAGTGCTCACATCGACACCCGTAACATCAGAGAAATTCGTGCGTGCCTCTAGCCTCAAGTTCGTATATAATTTAAAAAACAAGCCTTTTTTATTTTTACTATATGAATTGTGACTCAACTTTATATCATACGTCGAAGAAATTAAAGTTCACATTATCTAAAGCATATTTATCTTGTGCAACAAAACTTACTTGTGGTCTATAATTATGTTGGAGGCGTCAATGCGCCTGTATCTTGTACCGGTAGACGAGCACGCTAGCTACACCCATCAGGAAGCTCAACAGAATCGAACCCCACACGAACATCTGAAAACACAGTATTAAAAAAATTGTATTATAATAATTTCATATTCATTCATTAATAATAATAAATTGGTCACATTTAACTAATGTAATGCAAGCGTAGCTGTACACGCTTGCATTACGGATTGAAGCTATCATCTATTTCAATGTCAGAACTCATCAAATTCGATTCAGCAGTTTCGGCATAAAGCGTAACAAGTAACTTCAATTCCACATGACGTATTATAAATAGGGTTAGTGAACTATTTATAGTATACATAATAAGAATAATAATTATGTGTATAATACATAGCTACTTGATTTTCATAAAAGATTAAATCATTTGTCCTTAGCATAATTTATCATAATTTCCTTATGAATGCGACAGAAGCCACAACCACGCAGTCATTAGAATTTACGTTCAAAACATTTTATATCACAATGAGTACTCTTGTTACAACTGTGTAAGAGTAGAAAATATTTTAAAAGCCTTGGTCAAGGTCATAAATTTACTAATTGAATTGAATACACACTGAAACCGATCGAGCTACTTACACTCGAAAAGTTTAGGGTAAGTCGTATATTTTAATCCTATATTGTTACATTACTTTTTTATTAATGTTTATTTTACAAGTGGGGCTTTTTTCCTAAGAAAAACACTTCAGCCCGATTATAGAATACAATTCATATTACATACTAAATATATTACATATAATACATACTAAAATAAAGAAGCTGAACCGTTTATAGGTTTAACATGCAAGGGCATGTATAGGATAACGGCAAGTATAAGGATACTTAAATATAAAATAATTAAACGATACAATTTTCTAGCCTCAGATGACAATGGTGACGCTAAAAGGCTAAAACGCTGTGATAAAACCCAATAGATAGAGCTCTTAAAACTAAAGACCTGATAAAAATACATGTTATATTACATTTCTAAACAGGTCAAAATAAAGAATAATCTCACCTTGGCTCTACTAGGTTTCTTGTCAGGCGCAGCTCCCTTTGGTTGATTGGTGCCAAGCATCCGTTTAGCAAGCTTTCGTTCCACGGATCTTTCCCGTGTGGCCCTCTGTTCACATCGCTGGAGTTCCTTCCGGGCCCCCGCGTCCTCAGGGGCCGCGGCTGCAGCGGCCCGCGCTGCTTCCAAAGCCTCAGAATTGCGCCCCATCGAGGACAAAATGCGAGATTTGCGATATAATGCCTTGGCGTTCTTCGGTTGACAGGTTAGAACTCGCGTTACTGCCTGGAAACATAACGTGAGAAGTTAAAATCCTACAGTTTTGAAAGTCCGTTTAAATAAGCACCTAGATTTCATATAGTTACTTTTTTGAACGTGTAATTTTTGAAACTAATTAGGTCCAAGTATCAAACTGATTAAAAATCATGTCTTATAGAAAGCGAAAGCTCTATCATAAAATAAATCGTATTAATATAACTAGGAAATGAAATGGTTACACCTTTGTTGGTCATCTACCAAGACTTAACCTAATATTTTCATTCTGCATTATCTTACATCCTTATTATTGAATCACTAACCTGCAAAGCAGCTTCAAAGGCACCAGCCTTTAACTGCGCAGCGGCCATGTTGTTATGCACACGGAGTCGCTCCTCTAACAAGGCTTGAAGTTCATCAGATGTAGGTGGCAGGTCCCCACTGGCGGTGGGAGCGGTGATGCCACCGTCAGACTCATCAAGCACGTCCAACGCACGTCGGTATAGCTGCACTGCTAGGGTTGGCTCACCGCGACCGTACCACCAGTTTCCGCGGGCACGACGTCTGATACTAGAGAAATAGGTTGGGATTTTAAGTTTAAAACATATCTAGATTCTGAATGTTACGTGTTTAGTTTATGTATTATAGGAGTTTTTGTCACTTGGCTTCCGCTGAATATCCCGAAGAAAAAAGCATAAAATACATGTTATTATGCCTTTTAACAAAGTAGAATAAAATTGACGTTTGACAGTTTTAGTAAGTATGGAAGAATTGTCAAATATTTAAAATTATTCCTTAGATAATAAAATAAAAGTTAACTGGCGTTGGAAAAATCAGCCTTTAACCATCTAAGGAGTACCAATGCAGTGGTGTACACTCTGGTACTCTAGCTGTCAAAGTCTATTTTTTATGGAATAAACCTGTAAACAAGCAGTCAGATCACCTTTAAGTAATCGGCGCCGCCCATGGATACATGAAACTGCAGAGGCATTACAAGCGCGTTACCGGCCTATTGGGGATTAGGAATTTGAGGATTGTTGGGGATTTGGGGATTGGGGAGATTGGGAATTGGGCCTCCGGTAACCTCATTCACACGGAAAGGCACAGTCATAGTTTTGTTTCACGTCAGTTTTCTGTTAGGCCGTGGTATCACTCCGGTCGAGCCGGCCCATTCGTGCCAAAGAATGGCTCTCCCAGATTTAGGAAAAAGGCTAAAAGTCTCAAAAAGGCTGACAATAATTTCATTGTATAGGTATTCTAGTTATCAAGAAATTATTTGTCATAAAAAGAACTAGCCTATAGCGTGGGTCCGCTAGGAACCGGAGCCGGAGTCTAGGCTACAAATAGTGAGTTTAAACGTTAACTCGAAGCTACTAAATAGCTAGCTCCTGTTTAGTGGGCACTGAGAGCCTGAATCTAGGCTACACATAGGAGTTTAAACTTTAAACCTATACTCGAAGATATTAAATAGCTTGAATTCATAGGTTCACTGTAAAACTCTAGATAAAAAGAGTCTTGCGCAAGTCATAATATTATCAAATCTTCGGTCAGTATCCATTATCACTTCCTGTACACCAGCGTCCTTCTAACCTAGTTACAATTAAATACACAAGCCAGTGAATTTAATTAGCAAAGTTTATGCAAAATGTGTTTTAAATAAATTTCTATTTTAGTAACAAAAAGGTCAGCATCATCCGATGGATCGGATTAGTTAGAAAATGCGTAGTATTTAATTTATTGTATCTTCACGGTCGCTTTGTTATGGTCATAAAATCATAACATTCATGGTGTCCCTGAAGTCGACGATCAAATGGCACCAGGTGATCGGCACGGTTCTAACATTGTGCAGAAACATATCAATAAAATTCTAAGTCATATAGTTTTTAAATTACAATGACTTATGTGTAATCCATGAAAAGTACACCTTGTGCCAGTCTTTTGACTCTTGCTGCTGATCACATCGTCTGTCTACCAGGGGCGTAGCTAGCGCCATATATGCCGTATCAAATAAATGGTGCCCCCGGACGACGGGGCCCCCAACGTGTGTAAGCAAAAATATAAAAACTTCTCAATTTATATTTTATTTCAGTAATCACAAAAGGCATGCGTTCAAAGGTTACCAGAAACCATAGAATAAGGAAATATATTCCATGGCAGAAACTATTGAAAAACTAAAGTAATCATTGTCTGATAATTTGGGCAGAGGCGTGGACCGACCTGGAAAGTTTTCCGGTTTTAACACAAACTTTTAGTATATTATGTAAAAGAAATCTCTTCTGAGAATTTTTTAAGTACTTTTCATAAGGGCCCCAAAAAATGTTTATACGGGACCCCGCCAAGATACGCTACGCCAGTGCTGTCTACTCTTAATTTCGCTAGCAGCGTTCGTCGGCAATATTGTCGCTAGCTAGAGAACTCTAAAGAACATTTGATGTTCAACTCCAGTTTTGCAAAGCAATCATGGTTGCGACCACTAACCCAACGTCACAATCAATCAATAACAGTATCAAAAAATAGCGTATCTACATATTGCCCTCGATATAAGCAAAGACAATGCTTCACATTTGTCAACGTTACATTATTATGTCAAGGTTTCGATATCTACATCAAACCGAGTTTTATGTAAATATATTCAGTGACGTCATATAGAAACAATTCGTGGCATATTATATTAGTGTATGATTTGCTTGATGTTCAGGGCTTCTTGGCTGTTTTTTGGCTAATATTAGATCGCACGATTTTTTCAAAGTCACGTTTGTTTTTGTATCGAGACTATAAAGTTCTATGCGTTTGTACTGATACGAACAATATTATCATGATCCAGCAACGAACTTTAACCAATTTTTTGAAGAAGAAATGATATCGTCTCCGTTTCCTCCAATTTATTTATTTGACCGGTGTAAAATAATTTTAAAAAGGATTCAGAGAACTCTAACCACCCCGTCCCGATTCTCATTTAAAGTTCAGATATGATACAATCATATTAAAAAATAATGTAATATTTTTTTAAGAGAATATTATTACGACCTCCGGTCGAGGTCGAAAGTAGACGAGAGGATTCAAAATAACGCGATATCTTTAAAAAAATATTTACAACTGTTTTAATCATTGCTATTGCACAACGCTAACACTACGTATAGTCTTTTTTTTTGTCTTTTTTAAAAAATGTGTCGTGGGTGCGTTTTCACATACACAATGACATCCAGACCCGAAACAACAATTTGTGGATCACACAAAGTGTTGTTCCGTGCGGGAATCGAACCCGCGACACGTTGCACGGCAGCCAGTTGCCCAGCCACCGCACCAATCGTACCAAAGTACAAATGTGTAATAATTATTGTCGATACCGCCCTCACATTTTAAACATATCACATTAAAAAATCCTTTAGTACACTGATTAAATTACGCATGCAAAATTAATATCTGTAATCTTATTTCAGACATTATAATCGTTGACCGTACAAAGATATACTTTTAAAGGTCAATAACCTATGTGACCAGTTAGTATTTAAGTGTTGGGTACAACAACCTGCAAAATTGCGAAACGTATTATTTTAAGAATACCGGTTCATGGTGTTTGCAATATTTTTTTACAAGTAAACATTGATTCTTGCAGTCGCGAGCCGCAAAAGGCTGGTGTCATTAGAACATAGACTTGCCTATGTTTACATAGCATTTTTTGAATAGTGGATATTTGTTTTTTAATCAATCTTTCGCGCACAGTATCTGTAATAAATAAGCTGGTATTTTGTGCTATCAATCCACTCGATGACTCGACTTTTACTTAAGACTTATTAGTCACAAAAAATGGGTGATGCATTTGATAAATATCTAACTTCTGCTGTGCAACATCTAGGGGTAACAAGAGCTGTTACCTTTCCTGTCTCTAAAGAATTTAATGTTTATTTATGTTAAACTAGCTTTTACCCGCGGCTTCCCTCGCGTCAGAAAAGGATAAAAAGTAGCCTATGTGACATATACCAATACACACAGCGCCATCTATACCAATACTTTTGTTTTCCCTCGGGAATATCAATTTTTTCCGGGATTAAAAGCACCCTATTATTTAATCTGGACTTCTAACTTTACGTCTGCAAGAATTCGAAGCAATCGGTTAAGTAGTTACGGCGTGAAAGCGGAACAAACAAACAAACTCACTTTCAGTTCTCTTCTCTAGTTCTTTACATATTTAAACACCCCAAAATTTTTTTACTACAAAATGATAATCATTAAACACTATATTATTATATTCTTCCACTTACCCTGTTTCCATCCTCTCAGCAATGGGCAAGGTCTCATGTTCAGGTTCCTCAGCCCAATCATGAAGCTCCAATCGAGCTTCTAACCAAGTATCAGCATCAATCACTGGACCATCATATTTCGGTCCATCAGTCTCTCCGATCAAACCGAGGCTCTCGCCAGGCTTCAGTCCAGTTTCGCCATAACCAAAACGTGGTGCCATTTGAAGAAGGCATTCCTCGCCTTTGTACATCATTGTTACTGCTAGGTCCAGCCCTTGTAGTATCTGAAACAAACACTCATATTCATGTCTTTGTCCCCTGGGGACGGAAAAGGATACAGAAAAGCACCAATAACAATACTTGTATAATATTTAAGCTTTTATTACATGCACACACCTGGTCATACAAACCATACTGCACTGTTGTATCTGAAATTCAAATTGATTCTGGTTTTTTTGTTAAATATTTGGTCAGAAGAAACTGCTTTGCATAAGCAGTCTATTAGCCTAAGCCCCTAGGGGTTATAGTTCAATACACATGATTGGAAAGCCTTTGTCAGATACTATTGTGAGTCCACCCCTTTGACTGATAAAAATCATTCCTGATATGATCATAATATATCCATTCTATGCCCAAGAGTTTACATAATCAATAAATAAAAAGTCTGTGAATATGGTATTGTTATGGGTGACGCATGAGAATTAGGGGCTTAGAACATTTTAAAAGAACAATGATGATATGCTATGCTACATACTTTTGTAAGAACATGCACTTTCTTTGTCCCATTTTGGCACAGCTCCACTTTTGTAAATGACATTAATTAAACAATATATTACTCAGACCGCAGTATAAATAGATTAGAGAAAATACTAAGTAATTAATAATTACAAATGATGTCAATTTAACATAATACATATTTACATTGACGTAAACAATAATAGTATGTAATACCAACAATTACGTACATAATATTATCATTAGAACAATAACAATAACTAGTACAAAATGTGTTATTACTTGGAAAATAGATAAGATAACGACTTTCAATCTTGGCTTGATAGTTAACGCAAAGTTTTGAATATTTAAGTGCTGTACCTGATAGACAGATCTAAGATTAGATAGTCTATATATTTGTAACAAAAAATCCAAAGTCAATAGCTGATTAACCCACTTGTTCCTGAAACAACTTTTTTGATTATCTCATAATAAATTTAACATATAATGCTAATAATGCTATATTGTATACGAAAAAAATATTAAAAAAATTTTTCTTCAATTAGGAAAGTTGGAAAATGCCGTCCTTTTAAAAGAACGCTAGCAATATGTACTGCTATGGTATTCATAGGTGAAATAAAATAAGACTATAGGTTTCACACAGTTTTATTTTGGAATATGAAAGCTTTCGAAGCAAAACTTAGGATGCAAAGTAACATTACATTTAGGACAGTAAAAATTGGCTTTTTTATGACATTCAAAGCACCGAAGTTGATTGTCTCTGTATCTGATTAGGTGATCTTTTCCATCAAATCGGGAATCTTCGCGAAAATTTTGGGAGACACGAGTTGCTTTACGATCTGATCTTTTCTTATACGTTTCCAGAAGAGCTGTTGCCACACTTCTGCGGAAGTGAAGGAAGTCATATTCACCTCCGTTGTTTTTGTATAGTTGCCAAGAATTATGTAAGGCCATGTCCAATCCGTGGCAAATCAAAGAGAAGTACCATTTCTTTCCCCTAATTGACGTTCTGTACAGACCTATATTTTGATCGGATCTATCGACTCCCCCCATGTTTTCATCATATTTCTTAACGACAGATGGCTGATCAACAAGTACATATTTTTTTTCTTGCTGTGAAAATGCGTGTTTGCATTTTTTTTGGCTGCATATAAATTTGTGTAATGTACAAACATATTTATAATGTCTTCGCCAAACACCAATTGAAAATATTGTAAAGGGCTAAATTGAGTTCTGGTGGTCTGCATATATTGCCATGGCTCAAAACTTGGGCGAATGTCCCGTGACACCCAATCATATGTCTTTTTTTTGGAGACAGTTATAATATGACCCGTAGACTCGATGGTGGATGTTGACTGAGAAGCGAGATCTGATTCAGTAGAAACCACGCGTCTGCGTCTAGATAACTGCATGAGTGGTATGTCATCATCCTCATCACTACAATTTTCTGACTGGAAACAAGCTTCTCCCAGCGCCCGTAACTGAGATCCGGGTAAATTGTCTAGAGAAACTTGGTTTTCATCACCTGAATCCTCATCAGTGACATCAGCATTGCAGTTTTCAGGAGGCAGAATGATAATGGAATCAGGTACTTCCTCTTCATCATCCTCTTCTAACTTTTCAACTATTTCATTTAGCGTCAAATGCCGAGACCACTTTTTTTGATATCTGAAACACATAAAAGATGATAGTAACAGATTTTGCTATTGGTTGTTTAAAAGGACGGCAATTAAAACTGAATAAAATACATATTTGTAATGACAATAAAATACTGACATTGCTATCAAACTTTAATTTAGGCAGCATATAACTAAGTTCTAGCCTTCTTGAAAAAATAACATATTGTTTTAGTTATCATTCCTTACCTTGAATTCTTCATAGTTAAAACCTTGAAATCAAAAATGTATACAAAATAGAAGATTAATTAAATCACGAACAATGAATGTTGTGTCCGCTTCGTACACTTAAGACCCGTCAAATGAATAGAAACAACAATGTTATAAATACCCTCATTGTTCACAATAATTTTATTTATACATCGACCTTTTAAAAGAACGATAGCAACAAGTGGGTTAAACGATACAATTTCAATATTAAATGCATTTATTTCTGCATTTTGTAAATTTGATTATGACAATGTATACTTGTTGTGATGTTATAAAAGGAAAATGTTGTTTTTATTCACAATACACCTATTGTTGAACCTCTTTGATTGTATTAAAGTTGAATAAAGTGCTTTCTTTTATTGATTACTATTCTGACAATTTGTTAGTCAATGGGGCTGCAGGTACTCTACATGATATATTAAACAAATCAAACTAAAATCTTTGTTGACTGTCAAATACTATGCAGAATCCTTTATAGCAGCTATTTAATTTTTTTATTGTTTTAAAGAAATAGGTAATATTATATAAAGTAAAGTACTCACTTCATTGTCTCCCAAATAAATTTTAACATGATCTCTTTTTTCAACAACATGGTCAGTATCCTTAATTTTGACCTCATAACTAATTCGGCATATATCACTTCTGTGAGGTCGCAAACCATTTGATTCTTCACCAACTTTTAGTATCTGGAAATTAATTATTTTTAAACACAAAGTTGTTAAATCATATTATTGTATTTGCAGCATGAATACCTTGCAAAACAAAAGAAATACTGATTCATTGGTAAATAGTGATTTCAATTTACATATTTTTACATACTGGCCATCAGAACTGCCAATCGAAAATATTAAGAATCAGTTTCACCGAATACGTAAATTAGCATAAAAAATATTTATGAGCATAGATAGGGATGTTTTTAACTATTTTTTTTATATCCATATATTCTATTGTAGGGTTTGTGAGTAAGATAATATATAAAATGTAATGTCGTGATTCGTAATCACATTCTTGTCTGACCTTTTTAAGTAGCGCGCCTGACCCTAGGACATCTTGCCACTCATCAGTTTTTGTTTCATCCGTATTCGACTTATCTTTGGCAGCGGCTGCCTCGGCCAGCTTAGCCTCCTCGATCTCCTGAGCTGCCGCAGCTGCAAGATCTTCGAACGAACTACTCTCCGACTTGTCCACCAAAGTTCCTTCGCCCTCACTCATCTACAAACATGCGCTCGTGATTATGTGCCCATCGTCAACTAATACGTAATAATGTTTACCCTTCTCGCGCAGTAAACAGATTTCAATAGATCTAAGACAAAAATTAAATATTATTAAACAAATACAGCACACTCACCTTAACAGTTCAATATTTCAAATTGAATAAATTTAGAACTCCTTCCAAAATAATAATAATGAATATGACAATTCAACTTTTTGGATTTGACTTGACTTTTTTGTGAATGAATTGATTTGATTGCTCAGTGAATGAATGTTATTTTATAAAAACACAAGGTCGTTCCGAACAGTAGTATATTTTACTATTTATTTTACAAAAAGTCTAAATGAGATTTTACGTATTTTATAAATAAAAAACTTAACTTCATTTATATTGGTTTGAAATTTCATCTATCATATTGGTTTTAGCTGGGACCGTATTTTTTAATAGTTTATTGTGAATAACATTATTGTTCTATTCATAGGTTTTAAACGTTAACAATGTTTACAAAGGTTGATTAACTTATGCAAAAAGGTGAGATCTATATTTCATATAATCTTTTTTGAAAGTGATCAGATACCAAATAAGATTTTTTATAAAAGAATTTTCTTGGCGTAATAAAATTAAATTTGCATCTAATTTCAAGATCCTTGCTATTAGGAATATAAAAAATCTACTAATGTTTCTCTGTCTCATTACGAGCTTTATAAACTGCAGAAGCTGTCAAAATTACTGTCATTCGACTGTCAAAAGTGACATTGAGCTTGTGGGAGAGGGGAGCGGTTTACCTACTTCAGTGAGCGGAATAAACAATCGATTTTATACTGCTGTTTTACTGTACAAATAAAAAATATGCAGAAGTACGAAAAACTAGAAAAGATCGGCGAGGGGACGTATGGTACTGTGTTCAAGGCTAAGAATAAAGAGACACATGAAATAGTGGCTCTGAAACGGGTGAGGTTAGATGACGACGATGAAGGGGTACCGTCCTCCGCTTTACGTGAAATATGTCTGCTGAAAGAACTGAAGCATAAGAATATAGTCCGACTATACGACGTCTTGCATAGTGAAAAGAAATTGACTCTTGTATTTGAACATTGTGATCAGGATTTGAAGAAATATTTTGATAGTTTGAATGGTGAGATAGACCTGGATGTTGTGAAGTCTTTTATGTACCAGCTGCTTCGTGGACTGGCATTCTGCCATAGTCACAATGTCCTGCACCGAGATTTGAAGCCACAGAATTTACTGATAAATAAAAATGGCGAATTGAAATTAGCCGATTTTGGGTTGGCTAGAGCTTTTGGGATCCCTGTGAAGTGTTATTCTGCAGAGGTTGTAACTCTGTGGTATCGGCCTCCGGATGTACTATTTGGCGCCAAGCTGTACACGACGAGTATCGATATGTGGTCTGCTGGATGTATATTTGCTGAGCTTGCTAACTCTGGGAGACCTTTGTTCCCTGGATCTGATGTTGATGATCAATTGAAAAGAATTTTCAAGCTTCTGGGTAAGTTATTAACTTTAATTGAAATTTATTTATGTCCATATACTTTCAGGAGCAATATTTTTTCTTTATAAACTAATCTTAATTAGTTTAATTTCAACTTGAAGTAAAAAACTAAATTTCAAGTTGGAAATTGGAATTCAGAAAATGTATGTTGGTGTAAAAACTATTTATTAACTATAACATATAGATCTGTAGCTGATTAAGGCAAATCCTTCACATGTGACTATGTATAATTCCAAATTGAATTATAGGTCTTCCTTGCTAACAAGATGTGTAGTAACAATTTATTAATCTCATTTATGTCACAATTTCCAGGAACTCCAAATGAGGATACATGGCCTGGTGTGACACAGTTGCCTGACTACAAGCCCCTGCCTGTGTACCAGCCTAGCTTAGGGCTGGCGCAGGTGGTGCCTCGTCTGCCAGCTCGCGGCAGGGACCTCCTTGCCCGTCTCCTCACCTGCAACCCAGCTCTAAGGATGCCTGCCGACGATGCCATGGCTCATGCCTACTTTCATGACCTCAACCCATCAGTAAAGAATGATCGATGTTAACAATCAATACGTCCGTACCGCTGCACCTCTGAACTACTGGTTAGTGATAAAAACAATGATGTTGATGCGGTGCAAGAGTGTTGTGACGAAGAAACTTAAATAGTATATAAGGACAATGACATCTTGTATGTTTCGTGGACCCAGTGAATTTATAAGTGTAGTTGGTGTGACGTTTGCATTTGTTTTGTAAATTATTTTGTTATGTTTTCTTTTTGCTGTAATTTTATGTGTATTTAGCTAGCGCTAGAGATTATTTATTACCGAAGAAAACTAGTGTTTATTTACTTACCAATACTGATGTACATACATAATCAGTTGTTGACATACAATAACCTTGGCCTCAATTACGTCAAGACTACAATATTTATCTTGAAATTACTCCGAAGTAGGTTCACATACATTTGATATTAGATTCCCATGATCTCATTGTATAATGCTAATTTATTAAATTGATATTAATATGCTTCACCAAAGTGAGATTTGTTTAAAAAGGTAATGATTTTATGTACAATTAAAATAAAAATGCTCTTGTTATTAAATTTACAAATCAATTACTTGTACTTAATGATTAATTAAGGTTTGAATTTGTAATAAACGTAAAATCTTTTATAGTCAAGTAATAAACATTAATAGTAAAATACAAATAATATTTATACATTTTCTGCGGCTTCCTTTAACTCTGCACTAATGATGTCTGTTACAAATTCACCAATCTTCCCACTGGCCTTCATGGTCGAGGACATGGAAGAGGACGACTTAAATGACGAGGAGCTTTCTTCAATAATTGTTTTAGACATGTTAGACATAGTTTTCATTCCACACAGGTCGGATGTAGAGGCTAAACTTCTTTCGCCTATTTTTTCTGTCAATCCAGATATTCCTAAAGTTGATTTAGCAAAGGATTCTTCAATTTTGCTTGCGGTGGCGCCAATATTCTTCTCGTCCTTTTTTTCAGACAGCCCCTTAACTTCAACAACCTGTTTCGACGAATACTTATCTCCATTAGTAGTCTCTGAAATTGTTTCTTTTAGTAGTTCTGGTTTTAGCAATCGACTATGTTCTTCTTTAAGCGTCATTTGAATATTTTTGTTACGAATCATATTATCATCTGTATCTTTAATATTTTCTTTAACTGAATTTTGTGTAATATCGGATGTCATTTTAGTTTCGATCTGAGTCTTTTTCGGAGTAAAGCCACACATTTTGATTGGTACAATTTTTTCTTGTTTTTCGCTAGAGGATTTCTTTTCAGCGATTATAATGAGAATGCCATCTGAGGACATGGATGAAGTAACATTCTCTCCAGGACAGTGACTCGGCAATGCGTAGCGGCGCTTGAATTGTCTCGAGATATATCCATGTGCGTCCGGCCTGTCTTCATGTTTCCCTTCAACTATAATTTCATTGTCCGTCACTTTAACACTTATTTCCTCCGGTTTATAATGTTGGACGTCCATAGTTATCTTGTAGTTGCCTTTCTCATTTTCTATTGTTGATCCGAATTCTTTAGTGATGCTTTGTTTACCCATTAGCCTCCAAGGACGAAAGTAGCTGGAATGGGTGTCGTAGAACGGGCACATAAATTCTCGTGATGGCATACACATGCCGAAGTGATCGTCTGACCAGCGAGCTGGGCACAGTCTCGGGAACTCCATGCTGTGCGGATGCGACGTGCGGATACAAGTAAACAATCGGAACGACTGAGTTAGATCACACTGCCAAACGCTTTTATAGACTACCTACTTCCTATAATAAAACGTGTATGGTTGCCTCTTGCTAGGTATATTTTTAAATTGTACAGGATGATCATTATGGTGCCTGAATCGAGTAACAGGTCGCAAAAAGTACTGTAATAATGCCTGTACCACTTACTAATCACAGCAGCTTAATATATCAAATGTAAAAAAATGTTGCGGGTAGATACTTACACAACCACCTTCACAAACATGCATACATGGGCATAATAATTTTGTTTAGTAAAAATGATTTAGCACACTTCCTAATGGTCATCTACTGCCCACTTATACTAATGACGGATCAATTATTTTTAATTAAGTACATACATAACATTTACACAAGGCCCACCCCTGGACAACAAACATCGACACCAGTCATTGACGGGAGCTCGAACTTTCTCATCTATATAAATAGCGATGACATTCAGCTGCAGTTCCTCTGTTCCAATCAGCTTATTATTAGCATCGTGATCGAATTTCTGGTTGTTAATTAGGCGTTTCCTGTTTACTATTTGATACGAGATTCGCTACTTCAATTTTATTGTGGTTGTGGTCTACTTGTACTAATGTAATGTAATGTGTCGAGCATGGTTCACTACTGAGATATTTTAAGTTTTTCTTAATTAATCTAAATAAATTTTTATGAAAGGTGAATAAACTTTACCTAAATACAGTTCAACTAAAACTATAGGATCGAAAGGGGGGAAAATCATCGAATGACTACTTCCGCCTGGGAGAGGCGGAAGGGAGTGTCAGACTGTTACTGACTAAAGACTACCCCGTCCCTACTCCTGCACTTCGAGCCGGCGCCCCGGATTGGTAACCCGTTAGGTTCTCCGTGGCTCCAAATCGGCATCAGCCCTATTAGAGCCCCATCCGTGGTGGTCTGATGGCTCTTTGAGACGCGCGCGGAACGCGACGCGACGTACGCTCTGGTCTGGTTGTTCTGGTCGGGCGGCGAGCCACCCATGCTCGCCATGTCAGCGCTTCGCTGCCTCACGCTCCCGCCTCCTCCTTAACTAGCATGACTGCTTCGCAAAAGAAGGAGACGGCATCCCAGTCCGCCTCGCTCCGCATCATGACCCGCACCAGCGCCGGACGCGAGAGGTCGCACATCACGTACCTGAGGGCACGGCGGTACTCAGCCCATGCAGCGCATTCCGCTAGTGTGTTCCACCGTATCTTCAAGGCGGTCCCCGCAGTGATGATACCCGGGCGTTTCCTCCCGCCCCATCAGACATAGGTACCTCCCGAAACTTCCATGTCCGGTGAGGACCTGCGTCAGGCGCTAGGTGAGGACGCCGTAGCTTCAAGCCACTCCTCAAAAAGGGGAGACGCGTGATACTAGGTCCTAGTCTTTAACCTATTTAGATTTGTTTCTCGAGTGAGTTCCTACTAAGTAAAAGAAAAAAAAGAAACAAAAACCCATTTATTACGCAACGACACACGACAAGAATACAGATACACACAAAAAGAAAAGCCCATGGTGCGTCGCAGCGTAAAAGGCCGGAGCTCAGTGTCCCTTCGTCCAGCATACTCACCATGGAATCCTGATATTTCATGAATGTCAAAAAACTGTTCTGAAATAGTGCTAAATAGTGCCCAAAGGAAAAAAATAGTGCTCTTGTACTTGCGAAGTTATAGCCATAGTTCGATGAGTATGCTGGACGAAGGTTTCGCCCAGCATACTCACCTCCGTCCGGAGAATCTGTATACGCTTCAAACATAATTCATACTTCAAAAAATAGTTCCCAAATAGTGCCAAACGGTGCCCAAAAAGAAAAAACAGTGCTCGAATAACTTCGGAGTTATAGGCTTCGTTCAGTGAGTATGCTGGGCGTAGGTTCTACGCCCAGCATACTCACCTCAGTGCGCGAATATCGAACGAGCTATAGGTACAATTTACGTCTCAAAAAATTGTGCTTGAAATAGTGCCCAATATCAGTCCAATTTTTGCTTGACTTTTGAC